GCACTGAGCTGTGGGGACGGAGGGGTGGGCGGCTGCCGGGGGGCTGCCAGCGGGCCCTGCCCTCACCTCTCCCCCCGGACAACACCAGACTCTGCAATGAGCCTGGGGGGGCGAGAGGGAGGAGACCCCCATCCTCCCCATCTTAGGGGGCAGCGGGTCAGCGGGGGGGCAGCACACCCGGGACCATGGCGTGGGGAGGGCTGGGGGCAGCTGCCAGCTCCTGCGCGTCCTCCCGGCACTAATCGGCAGCGACGCCGCGGTGGGGAGGCTGCTGAGACAAATGGTGCCTTCGCCTGCGCCGGACCCGAGTGCTGGGGAGGGGGCAGGTCACGGCACCCCGGGGGTCACCAGGATGGGGGGACACACACACCTGCTCCCCCCAGCCCTGCAGTGCCCATGGTGTGCCAGCCCAGCAAGTGTTCACGGGGTGGGGGGGATGCTGGGGGCTGAGCTCTCCCTGGCCAGGGCTGGGGGCAGCTGTTGGGGGCTCAGGCCCTGGCCGGAGCGGGTGCTCCCCCCGCTCCCTGCAGCTCTGCCTTGTCCCCGGTCCTTGGTGTGTCCCAAGGAGGGACAGGAACTCGCCGCTTCCTGCCCTGCACAATTCCCTCCCCGCCCCACTCCTCCTGGGACATTGTATTTGGAGCCCTGGCCGGCTCCCTCCCTCCGCCCCTGCAGCCCCTCGGATCCGGGAATTGCTCTTCTTCCAGCGGAAATCCTGCTTTCCCAGCCAGCGATGGGGCTGGGAGGCCGGGGAGGGGGGGCTCCTTCCACCCTGGGCATCACCTCCCAGGGCGGGGGGCGAGGGGACACCCCCTGCCTTGGGCCTGGTCACTGGCGGGTGGGCTTGTGGAGGCGGGTTGCTTTTTGAGGGGTGGCACCCTGCCACGTCCTGGGGCTGGCACAGAGACAATGCTGGCCAAGAGCTGGCCATGCCCGGCTGGGGCACAGCTGCTTTGGGGGGCCAGCAGCCCCCTTTGAACCTTCTCCTGCCCACGGGCAGGCAGGGGAAGGGGTGTCCCTGCAGGCATCGCTGCTGGAGAGTGCCCAGGAATAGCACGGTGCCACCAGCACCTTCCCGACGGGAACAACCGGTGCTTCCAGGGTGGGAACACCCCACTGGGAAACCCACGCTCAGGGGATCCTCTTGCTGTTGTCACCCCGTCTGCATGTTCCCAGCAGAGCGTGGCGTCCCGACCCACCGCCGCTGCTGGTGTCCCCCGTCTTGCAGCGGTCCGGAGCTGTGCGCTCATGGTGTGGGGGTCTCCGGCCGCAGTGGGACCCTCCCCGTCCCTCCTTGCACCCCTTGTCCTCGGGGAACCTGGTCCCACTACGGCCGAGACAGGCCAGGGGCTGCCGTGTTCTTCTGGGAGCTGTGGGGGACTGGCCAGGCACTGGGTGAACTGGGGGGACTGGAGCAGGAGCAAGGCTCTACCCCAGGGCCCCAGCTCTGGGTCACAGGACTCGGGGCTGGGGGCAGCAGGGAAGGAGCAGGGACGTGCCACTGTCTGCCACTGTGCCAGGCCGAGGAGCGGGCAGCAGAGGCAGGATGTGTCCTCCTGTCCCTTCCCCAGGTCTGGGGGTTCCTGGGCATGGGCTGGGGACACATCTCGGCATCGTATGTACTAATGAGGCACCTCCCCCTCCTGCGCTGCTTCGTGCCTCAGTTTCCCCTCTGGGACCAGGGAGGTCCCGAGCCTCCAGGGTGATGGGGGAGCCCAGACAGGCTCCGTGCTGGGCTGTGCAGCACTCTCGGTTCCTCTTCCCTGGGGAGGCTGCGGCAGGACGGGAGAACCGCCGGGGTGCGGGGCCACGTGGGAAGGACAGGGCTGTGCAGGGCGAGGGGGGTGGGACAAGGCATGGTGACGGCACAGGGTGCCCAAGGGTACCCCGCTGTGGTCCCTGCCCAGCCCTCCCGGCTGCCACCGTCCCCACGGCTTGGGAATCCTGTCAGGCCTGAGGTTCCCCTTGACAGCTGCAGCATCATCCTCTTCCTCCCCTCTCCTCCCCCATGCCGTGTTCCTGCTGCTTCCTCCTCCCGCTGCGTAGGTGCCAGCTGAGTTCCTCTCGTAGCTGCCCGTCTGCTGCTCACGCCCTCCCCAGGGAGCTGTGGCACACCGGGGTGCTGGGGGTCCCCCCTCAGCCTGGCAAATGCCACCCCAACGTGTCCCCACGGTGCCAGGTGCGTGACATTTCCAGCAGCCCCCGTATCTCTCCATGTGGCTGCATCCCCTCGGAGCCTGAGCCCTCTCCATCACCGTTATTCCCTGGAGGGGAACAGAAGCAGAGGATGGGGGCGATCCCCGTGGGGTGCCTCGGCACTGGGGGTGACACACAGGGTGACACCGGTGTGCACCCGGGACATCGCGCTCCAGCTCGGAGCTGGGGATGGGGCTGCACTGCCCCATGTCCTGGGATGGGGGGGACAGGGAGCAGATGGCCAGGCGGCCGGGGATGTGGCTACATCGTGTCCAGCCATGCCCGGCGGGGTGGGGGCAGCGGCAGGGGTGATGAGTTGGCGGGGTCTCAGCGTGGGGCGGGAGCTGGCAGCTCGGCCGGGACCGGTGCCGGTGGAGCCGGTGTGGAAAGGGCTCGGTCGCCATCTGCTCCCGGGCTCCAAGCGGCTCCTTTTTGGCAGAGCCAAGACCTGCCACCAGCTCAGAGCCATCAGACATGGGGTCGGCTGCGGCCCCTCCCCAAGGACGATGCAAGGGGACAGTTTTTGTGCCACCCTGCCCGGTTTTGGGGTGGCAGGGACCAGCTCGAGGCTTCTGTGGGTGTCCAGAGAAGGGGAAGAGTGCATGTAACGCTGCTGCACAGCAGCTGAGCACCACACGAGCAGTGGCTAAACCCCACGGTGCTGCGATATTTTGGGCTTGTGCTTGCCCTGAAGATGCTCTTTGCTTGCCCAATCCCTGCCAGCAGCTGTGGCAGCCCCACTGGCCATGGTCAGCACAGAAATTCAGCAAAATGAGAAGTTTCTGAGCACGATGCCAGCAACAGGGCGGGTGATTCCCACCCGAAGGGGACAGGGTTTGCGAGAGCTGGGGATGTTTGTTAGCTGAAATAGCCACTTACTGTCAGCAAAAATAAAAACCCCAACCAGCCAAGCCTCCTCGGATTTGGCAACGCTGCCCCGTCTGCAACGGCCGTGGCCTTGCCACACTGCTGGTGTCGAAAGTGAAGGTGGAAGGGGGAGAGCTGGGCCCTTTCCATCCCCCCGTGCTGAGCGAGAGGAAAGTGAATCAAAGACCGTGACGGGGGAAACCCGCCTGAAACGTCTCATCCGCCCCAAAAGCTCCGTCTCCTCCTGCTCTCCAGAGCGCAGGGGACAGGACACGGCTGCCAGGCGCAGCTCAGCTCCACGGCCCCTTCCCTCCGCTCGTGGGCTGGAGACGGGGCGAGCTCTGCCGTGTCGCTCCAAGAGCCCTCCACTGGAAAGCTCTGCCCAGTCCAAACTGGGCAGACTGGTGTGGGTGGGTGGCCAGCACCCAGGGGAGGTGACAGGGCAAGGGACAGACATGTCTTCTTGCAGCCATGGTGGGAGAGGTCTGGTTTCCTCCTCCTCCTCCACGACACCTTCGCTGCTGAGCGTGGCCCCGGCCGGAAGAGCGTGGCCCCGACCGCAGCGAGGCGAGCAGGGCCCTTCCTCCCCCGAGACACCAGTTCCCCTGCTGAGCAGAGGGGATGGGGACGGGGACAGGGACGCTGCGAGGGCTCCCTGTCATCCAGCCTGGCTGCCTCCAGCCTCGGGGCAGCTGGGGCACGTGTGTCCCCTCCGAGGGAGGTGGTCGGTGGGTTGAGGACATGGTGGGAGAAGAACCCGCTTGGGGATGTGGTTTCAGCCCACGCAGGGGTTTTGCAGCCTGTGCAGGGGTGTTACAGCCCATGATGGGTGTTTCAGCCCATGCAGGGGTGTTACAGCCTGTGCAGGGGTGTTGCGGCCTGTGCAGGGGTGTTGCATCCCATGCAGGGATGTTTCAGCCCATGAAAGGGGTGTTTCAGCCCATCCAGGGGTGTTACAGCCTGTGCAGGTGTGTTACAGTCCGTGCAGGGCTGTTGCCCCCCGCCTGATGCCCTCCCCTTGTCCACAGGTGCCTCTTCTCCTCCCCAAGGTGACATGGAGCAGCTGAAGTGACCCGAGGAGCCGTCGCAGTGAGTGGGGTCACCGCAGATGGGAGCACCCATGGGTGCCAGGGGGACACGAGGTCCCCCGGGCAGCACAGCCCGGTCCCCGCCAGTGGCAGTGCCCGCTGGGACCCTGGTGTCCCCATGTCACAGCCCAGGCACCCCCCAGCTCGCTGTGATCAGGGGTGGCAGGACCCTGCTCCTCCTGGAGCCAAGGGGCGCAGGCAGGGGCTCATGTGTGCGTCCCAGTGCCTCTAACTGGGATGACGTGTGCGCCCCAGTGCCTCTAACTGGGATGATGTGTGCGTCCCAGTGCCTCTAACTGGGATGACGTGTGCACACGTGTGTGCCCCGCCGGGGGGGGCATGGAGCTTACAATGCCTCTGTCCCCCAGGCCGTGCCCAGGATGGGCTGTGTGCACTGCAAAGAGAAAGGGTCCAGCAAAGGGCAGGTGGGGGGCGAGGTGGGGGGGGCCGCCTCACCCCCCACCTCCCAGTACGACCCCGACCCCACGCAGCCGGGCACCATCTTCACCCGCATCCCTGATTTCAACAACTTCCACGGCACGGCAATGCCCTCGACCCCATCCTTCGTGGGGCCGGGGGTCTTCACCTCCAACACGCTGCAAATGCGGAGCGGGGGCATCACAGGTCAGCAGGAAGAGGGGTCCGGGTGCTGGCGGTGGGGGTCCGGCTGCACCCCTGTAGTGCTGGGGTTTGTGGGGGACCCTGGGGGCTCACCACAGTCCACTCCGTGTGCCGCAGGCGGGGGTGTGACGCTCTTCATCGCCCTGTACGACTACGAGGCCAGGACGGAGGACGACCTGACCTTCCAGAAAGGGGAGAAATTCCACATCATCAACAACACGTGAGCCCCCCCC